AATGGAGTAGAATTAAATCTGAATTTGATAAAATCAGGAGTCAAGACTAACTAGGGAATTCCTGAGATTTCTGGTGCCTGGAGAATATTACAGCAGTGAAGTTTATTGATGTAGTCAGGGTCAGGCCTCTTTGGAGAGATCACTTCTAGCACTAAAGTTCTGGACTCTGGGAAGCAATCTTACTCAGGAACATTCCAGGCTAGCTTCCTCCTTGATGGGCAAGTTGTCTCAATGCAAGCTCTAGCAAGTGCACTTTTGCCACCCTAGATCTGGTCTCCGAAGGAGTCACCCAGGACTCCAGCAGCTTGAGTGTGCTGCTGTCCTCCGTATTAGTGATGTCTCTGTCTCCCATTGACGGATGCCCCTTGTGGGATTTTCATTCTGGCATTTTAAAACGAAGCATCTTTTGAAACACCTTCCAGTGTGTACCACCTCTAGGAGGCTTTAGTCTTAGCCGTTAGGGAAGTGCTAGCCTAGGATGAAGTGGGAGGAGGGGAGGGATGGGAGGGGAGGGGACTGGAGCATGACTGGCTGTCCAGAGAAGGCGGGAGGAAGAGTCTGGAGATCGAATTGGGGGTGGGGTGCAGTGACAGCAGCATAGGTGAGCAAGGGGGTGGCCAGGGATGTTGGGGGAGAAGTTGAGCTGGACAGAGAGGTACGTCCAAGCTAAACAGCTGGTTAGTGGTACAAGTAGGATCCTAACCCCGCTGTGCCTGGCTCTGAGCTCCGAGCACCTGCAGTAGTAGTCGCAGAGGTCCTGTTAGCGGCAGCCCATGTGGGGCATTTAGGGCCCGCTTGGCACTGTTCTGCGTTCCTCACCATCACTCACTCCTTCAATCCTCAAGTCTTCCTGTGATGAGGCAGTGGATTCGTGAATTTGCTGTCAGCAAAAATGATGGCCTGTCCAAGGGCTTTGGAGGTGGCTGGGGGGTGGGTGGGGGTAGGAGGTGGGATGGGGGTATCCCTCCCTCTGTACCCCGGGGAAAATGAGTTGAGCAAGGCCTGGGAGGATGCACAGCAGCTTTCTAGCTGGGAATGGGGTTGAAGGGGAGCGGGGACATGCTTGAGGGCACCTTTGGCGAAGGCCTGTGCTCTGTTGGCTTCCTCCTCTTGCAAGCCCGCAGAGAGGCCTGGACCTCAGATTCTCCCTCTGCATTCGGCACCCACATGTCCCCTTTTTCCTGTCTTACTGGCAGGTCACCAAGATGCTGGCTGTGGTGGTGCTGGTTTTTGCTCTGCTCTGGCTGCCCTACCGCACCCTAGTGGTGGTGAATTCCTTTCTGAGCCCGCCTTACCTCAACCTTGGCTTCCTTCTCTTCTGCCGCCTTTGCGTCTACCTGAATAGCGCAGTCAACCCGGTCATCTACGCCCTGATGTCCCAGCGCTTCCGGGAGGCCTTCCACGGACTATTTCAGTGTCGGCCGGCCTCACCCCAGCTCCCACCCCAGGAGGCCGCCTCTGTGTACTACAGTGTCATCAAAGACTCTTCCCAGATCAGATTGAGCTCCTAGAAGCAACCAGGGAGCATGATGCCCAGACAGGAAGGAGATCCTGGCACCTGAGGGCAAGACTCACTACTTCATCTCTACTGAGGGGGGAGTGGTGGAGGAGGGAGTAGTGCCCAGGACTGTTTGGTACAGGTGCACAGATTGTGCACTGCACACAGCCCTAGGGGGGTCACCATTCACATCACAGTCGAGATTTGTATATTTAGTAAAACAATTTCCAGATTTAATAAGTATGCAATCTGAGAGGGAGGCACCTCTTTATAATTTACACAAAAGCACTCTATGGCCTAATGGCAGCCTGGTGGATGAACATTTGCAGATTGAGTAGGGTAGGAGCTAGCACCAGGGTCTCTTGGGAATCTGTTCACACTCTTCCTGAAAATTCAGGGACCCTTTTTTTTTTTAATCCTGCAGAATAAACATCAAATGCTGCCTCCCTCTGCATAGTGACATATGACTTTATTGGGACCCTGCTACATACAGGGCAAGCCTGCTGGGCATTACAGATACTACAGAGGTAATGCCAACTGGGCTCCTGTTCTTAGGAGCTCCCAGTCTAATAGGGGAGGGAAGTGAAAACACGTCCAGCATGGCACTGGAATCCTGGCTGATGTGCCTGGGGAGGCAGCCAGGTGGGTGCTGGAGACAACTGCCTTGTCTAAACAGGGCCTGAGCCCTCTGGACCTGTCGCCTGGATCCAGGTTTCTAGGACCACCAAATCTCATAGTGCAGGGAAGGAGGAATATAAAATGACTGCTGGAACCAGCCTTACCTAGAGGCAGGGTCTCCATGTTTTCATTGAAGGGAATCTGAAACATCCCCCTCCTAAAACCCCCCCCCACCCTCTCTTGGTGTTTATTTGAAGTTTGTTAAGCATTGTCTTTCCTAGATATGCACATTTCCTTGGGAGAAGGAGTTAACTGAGTCTCTGAAACTTCAATGTGGATGGCAAGTTCTTAAAAGCTTTCCCTCTAAAAAGGATTTAAGGTACCAAAGGATCTAGAACAAAGGTAGCATTGACAGGTAGGGAGACAGGGCAGAGATAGAAATGAGGTGGGACAGACAGGGGGTTTTCTGGGTAGCCCCACCTGCTCTAGGATCTTGGCAAAGCATTGTTAGGGCAAGAGACCACTGTTAGGGAGACCCCTGTGGGGTCTCCACTTGTTGGGCTCAGTAGAAATTCAGAGACATTCTCATGGAACAGGTTAAGGTAAGATTTATTGTGTAGGTAGTAAAGTTCTTTGAGGGTCGGAGAGAAAAGAAAATGTGCAGGTCCCCCATCCCACCATTTTCCCACGGAAAGGAAGGAGGGCACAGGTGATTTACTGGACTCATAGTGTAGGCTGTGTTCCAGGGGAGGGTTCCCACACCTTCTACTCTCCCTTCTTATGGGGATCATGTGAAAGCAGCCTCATCAATGAAGGGAAGCAACAAACTGCCTGGATACCAAGCAGAAGGGATTGGGGGTGACCATGGTTCTCAGGAGTCGTCTGGGGACTGAACCTACCTTTAGGGACCCTGGGAACCATGGAAAGGTACAGTCTCTTGTGCTGAGGAAAGGGCCCCTGATCTCATGGAAACTAAGAAGGAGACACTCCCCCTTCATAACCCAGCTGGCTTAATGCCCAGGCAACCTTCGAGAACTTTGGGAGGGCCACTTTTGGACAACTCTGTACATTGCAGGACTTTTCTTTGAGCATCATATATGCAATGGCCTAGGTGCATATGACAGCTGCAGAAATTGTACTAGACATTTTATTATCATTCATTCATTTTGGTTCCTTGACTTCTGAACATCCTTTCTACACATGGGACATCACCCATGTGTAAATCTTCTAGAAGGCAGGTTACCTTCTCCCACCAAGGACACCTGAAAAGCCAGACACTTGCTTTCCTTTCCCCTGGCACCTGGGGCGTAGGCCATGTGACTTGGGTTCAGCTAATCAGATGCCCAGGATTTGAATCTTCAGCAACTGATACAAATGTGTGAGGGGGGGGGAGAGGGGAGGGGGGAGTATTTTATTCACGCTAGTGATAACAACAGTGGTATCCATTATTCACTGGCAGTGGAAGCAACCACAGCAGCATGACCTCCGCTGTCTGGGGGCAGTGGTGGCAGTGGCATCCCCACCAGATATATTTGATTCCTGCTACCCAGTCTGCTCCAATTCCCACCTATATTCTACCTTGGTTGCAGGAGTCTCCCAACCTCATTAAAAAACCCCATTTTCACTTATGCTAGTCTGGGTCAATGTCTGTTGCTTGCAACCAGAAAGCCTGGCTGATCTGAGGCTTTAATCTCAAGCTCGTCTCTGGTCTCTAACAAGCTAAGCCACAAAGATTCCCTAATGCTGCGATTCCCCTCCAGTTGTGTACTAGCATTTCTACCTGGATGATAAACCCACTGTGGCCAATCTGAATCATCATCCTCCTTCCCCACCCCAGATAACTTCCACTCCATTCCTCAGCCAAAACTCTTGAGTCATCCCACTTTTGCCCCCTTCTTCCTTCATATCTAAATAGTTACTGATGAGTGAAAGCCTCCTTTCATCTCCACTCCCATCTCTTGCTGGACCATTGCCTCCACCTCTTGCTGACCTGCCTTCAGCACCTCCTGCTTGCCTCCATTTCTCCGCAGACTGTTCACATTCGAGGACGCCCATGGGGTGGTCACTGTGTACATGAGCTTTGGGATCAAACTAGATCTGGAGTCAATATTCACTCCACCACTCCCCTAAGTGTGACCTAAGCCTAGTTATTTATTAGAATGACAATTTGTCTGTGTTTGCCCAGGACTGCCCCAGTTTTAGTATTTCAAGTCCCGGGTCCTGGCAAAAACCCTATTTATATTTATAAATTATTAATAATACTATCTTTCTTTGTAATGCAAGTTTTGTTTTTCGAATCTGTAAAATGGGATGTACAGTCGGATTTAGGCTGCAGCATTGTTCTGGTCATCGTTAGGAGCCACAAAAAGTGTTTGCACTTAGTAAGCCTAGAAAAAATACTATCTACTTAAAAATATCTTCCACATAGCATTCCGTTCTTTTCCCTCACAGAGCTCTTTACAATTTAGAATTCTATGCTATTTGAAATGCTTTAGCTAGTTGTAGCTAATAAATACTGTGGTCTTCCTCACCAGATTCTGAAAGGCAGATCCCATGAAGGCAGGGACCGTGTCTGGCTTTTTCACTGTTGTTTCCCAGAGCCTAGAACAGTGCCTGGCACATAGCAGGTATCCAGAAATAATTGTTGGGTAGAATAAAGGATGGATAATGAATAAAGACTAACTTTAATTTAAGTACTCAAGACCAGTTGCTGCGATTTGGCTTCCAGTTTGAGAAAGGCTTGAGGTGGGGATTGTGACTTATTGGGGTTCTATGTTGGCAACACAAAGTGTCTCTCAATAGCTACATTAAAAAGGAATTTGAGTAGCCTCGCCACGGCCGCCAAGAGTTTCTCTGGCCAGTGTTGCTCCCACCAGCCTACAGGATGGGAAATATCTTTGCAAACCTCTTCAAGGGCCTTTTTGGCAAAAAAGAAATGCACATTCTCATGGAGGGCTTGGATGCTGCGGGGAAGACCACCATCCTGTACAAACTAAAGCTGGGTGAGATCGTGACCATCATTCCCACCATAGGCTTCAACGTGGAGACCGTGGAGTACAAGAACATCAGCTTCACCGGGTGGGACGTGGGCAGCCAGGGCAAGATCCGGCCTCTGTGGCGCCACTACTTCCAGAATACACAGGGTCTCATCTTTGTGGTTGACAGCAATGACCGAGAGCCTGTGAACGAGGCCTGTGAGGAGCTCATGAGGATGCTGGCGGAGAATGAGCTCAGGGATGCCGTCCTGCTGGTGTTTGCCAACAAGCAGGACCTCCCGAACGCCACAAATGTGGCTGAGATCACAGACAAGCTAGGGCTGCACTCCCTGCACCACAGGAACTGGTACATTCAGGCCACCTGTGCCACCAGCGGGGATGGGCTCTATGAGGGACTGGACTGGCTGTCTAATCAGCTCTGGAACCAGAAGTGAGCCGCACCCCCCTCCCCTCACTCCCTCCTTCCACCCTGCTTTGCTCTCATGTGGTGTGAGTGCCAAAAGCTGTCTCCATGGTCGGTCACAGTGTGCTTCACCATGCTGTAAATGTGCAGGCACAGCCTGCAGCCGGGTTTTTATTTAATGTAAATAGTTTGTGTTCCCAACGAGGCAGTTTCTGGTACTCTTATGCAATATTATTCAGCTTTTTTTTTTAATTGTACAAAGAGAATTAACCCACTGTTCAATACTGAGAAGGGATTTAGGCACATGGGGCCTCCAGGAGTTGCTGTGTCAGACCAGCCTGGCACGCCTCCTCTGGGCATTAAATCTATGTTGAGATCCATTTTGGTGGTTGGTTTTTAACCCAAACTCCGTGCATTTTTAAAATCATTACCAATACAAGAAAAGGAGAACACCTGAACACACAGACGGGAGAAATGTGCCTAGTGTAGGTTCTGCAGTGGTGGCCAGAGTCCAGTCCACCAGTGGGTCATTTCCCATCAGGAACATGAGACGGGCCAGAACCAGCCACAGTCCATTCTGCATGGTCACGATAGGGTCCCTGTGATCGCTCTGTCTCGGGTCATCCTGCATCCCCTAGCATTTGTGCTTGTGCTTACACGGCCGCCCAGGAGATGGGCTGGGGGCTGCATCACGGCTCGCGGGCCCCTTGGAGGGACTCCGGCCTCCCTGGGGGTGGTGGGGGCACTCTGGCTTGCTCCGGGCCGCCTGGGGTCTCACCAGCAGGAGTGCAGGCAGGCAGGCCAGTCATCCCAGCGCCTCAGCCCCCGGAGCCCTGGGAGCCCCTGTCTACATGTGCTTTCACTCCCTCAGCCTGCAAGGGTCAGATTTGCCATCGAAACGATGACCTCTACTGTTTTCTTTTGTATTTTGATAAACACTGACGAAGCTGGAACTGTTCAACTTTATCTTGGGGAAGTCCTCAGAACTGGTTCATTTGGTGTCGTGGACCCTCTTACTGCTTTCAATACACGATTAGTAATCAACTGTTTTGTATACTTGTTTTCAGTTTTCATTTCAACAAAGGAGCACTGTAATTATAGCTACTAGAATAAAATCTCTTAACTATTAATAATAAATAAATAAATAAATAAATAAATAAATAAATAAATGGAATTTGTTGGAGTTGGTAAGAACCAGAAGCAGGGGGCACCTGGGTGGCTCAGTCGGCTGAACATCCACCTTCAGCCCAGGTCATGATCCCAGAATCCCAGGATTGAGCCCCATGCCTGGCTCCCTGCTCAGTGGGGAGTCTACTTCTCCCTCTCTCCCTCTCCCTGCTCCTTCTCTCTCACACTCACACTCTCGCTCTCAAATAAATAAAATCTTTAAAATAAATAAAATAATTAAATTAAATTAATTAAGTTAAAGAACCAGACCAGGATAACTCCAGAGATCCACATGATAGGAATCAACAGGCAGTTGCTTCAAGGCATCTATATCAAAATGACTCAGCTCCACCTAGGCCAGGTGTAGGACAAGCAACTTACTGGACCATCATTCAATGGCTGCCATTGACAGTTGCATAGGTTGGGCACTGCAGGTACTTCTCAGCCATCGAAATGGATGAATCCTCTGGAGTTGTGCAGTGTGCCTATGTATGTGTATGTGGCAGGCACTAATAGAAGTGTGGTAGTTCCCCGAGGAAAATTGAAGTGACGTTATCAGTAAAAGGTAGTATGGATGGGAGGAGGACCGAGAAAACCAACAGATGTCTACCATGGATGAGATGACCAGGTTAACAGCAGCCTCTGTCCGGACAACAAAGTTCATCCTGGTGGTCAAGGACATCTGGTCCGTGCTAATACTGTCACCTGGTGGCCATAGAGGAAACTGCATTATCCAATATCTGCCTTGCTGGCCTCCTTTTTGACTTACTTTCTTCCTCTTCCCTAGCCTCCCTCCCTCCATCACAATTTCTTCCTCCCCCCTTCACTACCCTCCCAATCTCTCAGCTTCCCCCCACCCCTTGGCTCCTTTTCCTTCTCCACTCCTCCTCCCCCTCGACTATCTTGACTAATTCATCATCTCTGGAGACCAGTCCCTGAGCTCTGTGCTGGCCAGACTGAGCTTCAGAGTTGGGGACCTGAGAAGCTGTAGAACTCAGACCCTATTCCCCTCTCATCACTTTCCCTGTTTTCCTCCTCCTTCTTGCAATAGTTACAATCCCTCCTCTTTTAAAAAAGATTTTCTTTATTTATTCATGAGAAACACAGAGAGAGAGGCAGAGACATAGGCAGAGGGAGAAGCAGGCTCCCCACGGGGAGTCCGATGTGGGGCTCGATCCCAGGACCCCGGGATCACAACCTGAGCCAAAGGCAGACAGTTAACCACTGATCCACCCAGGCGTCCCTTAAGGAAATTTTTAAAAAGAGAACATCAAAAATAAAAATTCCCTATATGTTAAAAAAATTCCCTATATGTGATGAACACTTAATATTTTCAAATATCAAAAATAAAACATCAAAAATAAATCAAAATCAAAACATCAAAAATCAAAATAAAATAAAAATTCCCTTTATGTGATGAGCATTTAATATTTTCAAGTCCAGCGCTTATCTCAGTGAGGATCTATTTGTATGCCTGTGTGTATTCTATTGTCTCTCTTTACCCTCACACACACATTTAACAGACAAATTAATAGGCCAAGAATGCCTTCATATTTCCCTTTCATTTTGTATATCTTTCATACACAAAATGGAAAAATCATCCATTTTACGTATTCATAGAAAAATTATATACATGCACAAGGCAAAGTCCCTCTTCCTCCTAAATAATCCCATATCCCATGGATTAACATTCTTAATTTGGGGGCACACTTTCCTAAATCTTATCTAAATTAATATCTATTTAGAGATACCTGGGTGGCTCAGTGGTTGAGTGTCTGCCTTTGGCTCAGGGCATGATCCTGGGGTCCTGGGATCGAGCCCCACATCAAGCCCCACATCGGGCTCCACGGGGAGCCTACTTCTCCTTCTGCCTATGTCTCTGCCTCTCTCTCTGTGTTTCTCATGAATAAATAAATAAGATATTTAAATTAATATCTACTTAAATGAAAAAATATCTACTTAAATGTGCAAAACTTGATCCAAGCATGTGTATGTAAAAGATAAAATTATGCTTTATATATTTGTTTGTGTATTGTTTTATTTAAAAGAGCACATCATGCTTTTTTAAAATTACTACACTTCCCACTGATAGATTTTCTTTCAGCATGAATTCTTGAATAGTTAATGTTTGAATTCCTCACAATGCTTTCACACATTCAACATATTTAGATGGACCCACCAAAACAGGTGGAGGCTTTACTGTATTGGTTACAATCTTCTGAATGCTCCCCCCTATGAGATCTTAGATATAAAGAAGGCTTTCTCACATTTAGAACATTCGCAGGGTTATTTCCCAGTGTGTTTTCTGAAGCTCAATGGGGAAAAACAGTAGAAAGAACAAAATAAACTTCTTCTTCTTCTTCTTCTTCTTCTTCTTCTTCTTCTTCTTCTTCTTCTTCTTCTTCTTCTTCTTCGGAAAAACAGTAGAAAGAACAAGATAAACTTATTCTTTTCTTCTTCTTCTTCTTCTTCTTCTTCTTCTTCTTCTTCTTCTTCTTCTTCGGAAAAACAGTAGAAAAACAAGATAAACTTCTTTTCTTCTTTCTTCTTTTCTTCTTCTTCTTCTTCTTCTTCTTCTTCTTCTTCTTCTTCTTCGGAAAAACAGTAGAAAGAACAAGATAAACTTCTTTTTCTTCTTCTTCTTCTTCTTCTTCTTCTTCTTCTTCTTCTTCTTCTTCTTCTTCTTCTTCTTCTTCTTGATAAACTTATTCTTATGGTGTTCATAAGAGAAGTTTAGGAGCAACATAAAGATTTTGGAATCATTAACATTTGGGTGGAAATCTCATAATCTGTCATCTTCGCTTCTCAGCTCTAGTCTTCGATGAAGTTAGCAGGCAACTTTTCTTCTTGTATTAATGATTCATAGCAATCCATCAAACCGTGCAATCCATGCAGACATTCCTCGAAGAATTCCTCAGCAGGAGGCGGGGGCCGCGGGGCCTTATGGGGAATGTAGTTCGGAAAGGCGCCGACCGCCCCTTGGGAAGGCCGCTTCTGCGCATGCGCCGTTCCCGGTGCTCTATCCTTTCGCTCTTTCGGGTTCCCCAGGTCCTGATGTGGGCGCGCCCCGCCTGCTCGAGTTGCTCCGTGCTCACCTGTATTTGGTGCAAAGTGGAAGCGAAGCCGGTGTTAGAGGAAGGACTGGCGAGTTAGAGAACGACTGGCCGGGGGGGGGGGGGGTGCTCCGGGCCCTCGGGGCGTCGGAGGGAAGGGCGGGACGGACCTGGCCGGGGTCCGGGGAGGATGGACACGCGCCCTCCCCGCATCCCTCGGGAGGGAGGCCCCGAAGCGCGTTTCCGCTGGTCCAGGAGAAGGGTAGCGAGAGCCCGGCCGGCCCCTGACCCGCAGGCCGCAGGGCGGGCACTCTCTGCAGCCCCGTGTGCCTGAAGAAGGTGCTTTGTGAGGGTGAGAGATTTGCGCATCCACATGGCCAGGTATCGTTCGGGAAGTTTCGCTGATGCACTTGGATCCCAGCCTACCGGGCCAGGTTGAGAAGTGCTAGAGGGCAGCAGGGAAGGGAACAAATACTCTTTATGAGGAATCCGTACCACTATGTTATGTTAGCTGTTTTACACTAAGTATTTGGTAGGAGAAAGATGCGAGCTGCAGTTGAAGGGAATGGCCAGGGTGCAGAACTGCCCGGACAAGACAGTTCAGTGAGGGACTGGAGGGTCAGAGCGGAGGTGTTGAGGTGTTGGCAGCGTTGCCTTAGGTTTTAAGAGTGTGATGTTTGGGTTCCGATCAGGTCCTGTCACAAAACAGCACTGCATCCCTGGGCATGTTGCTTAGACTGATCCTGTTTCCTCACCTGTAAAATAAGCATAAAATCATATTTGCCTCACAAAGGTTGTTCCGAAGTAAAAT